GTTCCCCGGCGGGCGGCCCGCATGTGCGTGTGACCGTGCTAGTGTGTACCTGAGTCTGTCTGTCCCTGCCAGGGAGCAGATGTTAGATGGGACACGCAAGGCCTTGGAGAGAAAGTTGAGCTGTCTCCCACCCCCAGCCTTCACCTCAGGGAGCGATGGCCGCGTGAAGGCAGAAAGGCAAGGCCAGGAGCTGGCTGCCAGGTTCTGCTGGGAAGGAACGGATGCGGCTGGGCAGCTGCAGCCCCACCCTCTACAGGCAGACGGCCCACTCACGCTCGGGAGAGGCCGGGCTTTTTCATGCCCACTTTCCCCTCCCTCACCACCCAGCAGCTCCCCTCCCTGTCCACTGGAGGCAGCCACCCCACCACAGGGTGCTGGCTGTCCAGCCCTGGCCCATCCAGTTCACACAGGCCTCAGCCCCTCCCTGGCCTTTTACCTGCTCCTCTCTTTCCTCTCACAGACGGAGTGAAGCCTGTTGATCAAGAAGATTTTGTCCTCCCCTTCCTAGAAAAGCCAGAAAACAAAAGGTAAAAACACAGAATTGACCATCTCTTCATCCATCCAAAGCCAGCCTGTTCCAGAATGCAAGTGGGGGAGCTTATGAGCAATAGTCCATATCAGAAGTTACAAAAAAGTCGAGGAGGCATCAAAATAAAGAAAAACCAGCTGGGCATGGTGGCACATGCCTGTAATCCCAGCACTCAGGAGGCTGAGTCAGGAGGATCTCTGTGAGTTCAAGACCAGCCTGGGCTACACAGTGAGTTCCAGAGCAGTCTCAACTATATAGCGAGACCCTGTCTCAAAAAATCATTAAAAAAAAAAAAACCTGTACTTTGAAGAAAAACCAAAAGGTAGGAACAAGACATACATGTGGCTCTTAGCTTCCTGGTGGCCAAAGTAAAAAGGGTAATGTGGCTGGCTGTGTGAGGGCCCCAGAGCCAGCTTGACTCAAATTTCAAACTGACCTTATCCTTAGGACCTGTGCTGTGGGCAAACTGCCTGCTTTCTGCCCTTAGTGCCACCACCTGACAGGGTGGCATACAAGCTAGAGAGCTTGTGTATGTTTCTTATGGCTGCTATAGTGAATTACTACAACTTAGCGGCTTACAGTATCACACTTGGCTTCCGGTCTGAAGGTCAGAAGCCCTATATCCAAAGTGTCCAAAGGCTGCATTCCTCCCAGCAGCCCTAAGGGACCATCCTGTCCTAGAGGAAGCCAATCCCTGGCTCTCAGCCCCTTCCTCCACAGCAAGGCCAGCAGTGGCTGAATGGAGCGTCACATCCCAGCAGCACAGCACCGGCCCTCCTGTCCTCATCTCCAGACCACGAAGGCCCCTGGACGGAGATGAGCAGCCCACCGCCAGCCCCGCCAGGGACAGCGTGTTCACTGGGGCCTCCGGGCTCTCCAGGCAACGTGGAAAGCATAGGCAGCATCTGGCACGGGGTCTGCTGCATGCAGGCACCCAGGGTGTCAGTCAGCAGTGCGGGCCAGACAGGAGCACCTTCCTGCATGCACATCCTCCCTGAAGCTAAGGAGCCAGGCAGACTGGTTCTGGGAGCCTGGAGACCAGGCTCGGCCTAGGAGCACCGCCGAGGTCGCCTACGAGAGGGAGCCGGACTCCAGGGCAATGCAACGTTCCTCCTTCCCGCGAGCCGCTGACAGGGACAGGGGCGATGCATTTGAGCCGGCCGCCCTGCAGCGACCCCTGGAGAGCAGGACAGCCATCAGACATGAGCTCCAACCTCCACCAAGAGCTGCAGCCAGTGTCAAGGAAGAGGACCCGGCCCGGCCCTGGCGGAGAAATCCCAAACGGGCCAAGTGAACAGGTGCAGAAGGAAAGGACACCGCAAGGGGTGCCTGTCACCGGCCCGTCCCCACCCGGCAACCTGCCCACGCCAGTGGACGTGAACCCAGGCAGGCCAGGCCATCCTGTGCTGGTGCACTCCCATGTGGGGGCCAGCCCAAGTGACCAGCCAGGAAAGGACCTGTGTCCAGCTGGATGCAGCACTCGGAGTGGCGGAGGGGCTACCCTGGAAAGAGGTGTCCTGACCCACTGCCATTTCCTCCCGTCCACTCGCTGCTCTGTGCCAAACTGTCACTGCACTGTAAAAAGTGCTACCTCGTCTCCTTAAATGTTTTAAACCGGGTGTGGTGGTGCACACCTTTAATCTCAGCACTTGGGAGGCTGAGGAAGGATGATTACTGCAAATTCAAGGCCAGCCTGGGCTACATATCGAGACCCTGTCTAAAAAACAAAACAAAAACGAGGGGACTGGGGTGTGGCTCAGTGGCACAGCACTGGCCTAGCACGTGTGAGGCCATGGGTTCAATCCCCAGCACCAAAACCAAAAACAATAAGTAAATTAATTAAGATTTTTAAAAAACCCTAACCCTTCCACCTCAGTCCCCCTTTGGTCAAATGAGGGCCCTGGCCAGGCCCAGGGTGCCGTTCAGGTCCCCTGGGATCCACACAGCAGGGCTGTCCCAGCAGGAGGTGGCAGGAAGGCACTCACATTGCGGATCTGCTCCTTGAGGAGACGGATGACCTTCCGCTGGCCTTTTACCACCTGGATGTTGAGGTAGATGACGGCCCTGCGGGAGACGGCAGTCAGGCTAGCGGCCTGGGCCGGGCCCAGAAAAGGATCCTGCACTCGGCAGCTCGCCGCACCCATCCAGGCCGTCCTCAGTCTGGAGGGCCCCAACCTGCCCGGAGCTCACAGCAGCAGGGCCGACGCCAGGAAGAGGAAGAAGGTGTTCTCCACCAGGTACCGGTGCAGCCAGGACAGCCACGAGGCCCCAGGGCCCACCTGCTCCAGGTGCCGCACCCACAGGGTGCCCGCCTCGTACATGGTGTCCAGGGTCCGGAATGGGCCGCAGGTGTCCGAGGGCTTCACCCTGGAAGGGAGCCAGGACCTCGGCGCCACGGCCCCCCACCCCACGGGGCCCTCACGGCACCTGCCCAGCGCCTGCATCCCCACACCGCTGCTACTCACTGCCACACCGCATAGCACAGGAAAACGGCGGCACCCAGGAAGGACGGGAAGCACAGCAGCGTGAGGAAGACGGTGCTCATGTGCGACGCCAGCCAAGGCCTGCGCGGTGCCTGGCAGTTGGCCATCAGGCTCACCTGGGGACAAAGCCGAGCTGTGCCGGCCACCACACCCCCCTGGCACCCTTCCCGGGGCCTGGGACCTTCAAGAAGGGAAGGGAGCAGCCGGGAGGGTTGGCCGCACCTCTAGGCTGGACCCCAAGACAGGACTCAGGACCCCACAACAGCCACAGCAAGGTGACCCTCTCAGAATCGGAGTACAGACAGACGAGCCAGCGAGGCCTGCCAACTCCCCCACAGAAGGGAGACTGAGGCACAGGGGCGTGGCCACTGCTCACCGCCGCTGACCCTGCCCCACTCTACACCCAGTGCTTCCCAAATGTCACCTCTGTCAGCACCCCAGAACACTGTCCCCCATGTGTAGCTGAGGAGGCAGAGGACCAGAGCGTGGCCAAGGCCCCTGGCTCCCCACCATGATCACAGAGCTGAGGGTGCACAGGCCCTGGCGGCCAGATGAGCCCGGCCTACTCGAGATGGGCCCAGGAGGGGCGGGCCCCGTGGGGCTGGGGGCTGCCCAGGAGGTGCACCTGTCTCTGGCGCGGGGCATTACCTTCTTGACCTGAAAGAGGATCAGCAGCCTGAGGATCTGCACGGCAGGCAGCAGGGGTGAGAAGAGGACGCCCAGCCTGGGAGGGCCAAAGCCAGAGGCAGAGTCAGCACGCTCCTCCGGCACGCTCCTCCGGCACTCTCCCCCGGCACTCTCCCCTGGCTCAGGGCCAGGGCCACTCGGGAAACGGGCAGGGGCAGCTGGAGCCCTCACCAGGTAAGAGTCTGCCCATAAATGAGGTCCAGCACGTTCCGCGCGATGTCAAACTCGGGCTTACCCCTGAGTCTCCTCTCCGAGACGAGCCTGAGGAGAGGATCACAGGACACAGGGACGGACCCTCAGCCACACCTGGGAAAGCACCGGGGCCGGTAACGCTCCCCTTCCCTCACAGGTACCCGGACTCAGGACAAACAGCAGCCATTCCAGGCCACCCAAGGGCTGGGCACTGTCACCAGCACCCCCCTCAGCCCTCCTGAGCAGAAGACCCACCCTCTGAGCGCGGCTGTCCATCCGCCCACAGCCCCCCACCCCCAGTCCCAGTCCAGCAGCCCTGGACAGTCCTTTCTTTTTACCACAACTTTAATAAACAAGTCTCAGGCAGCAGCAGCAGAAAAAAAAAAAAAAAAGACACACCAGCCTGATCACACAGGAGCAGCTTAAATACCACACTGCTCTCTAAAAGCCTTATTTTTATTTTACTTATTTATTTATTTGGGTACCAGAGATCGAACTCGGGACCTTGTGCTTTCGAGGCAGGTGGCAGCACCACTGAGCCAAATCCCCAGCCCCTAAAAGCCTTATTTTTAAATCACTAGTAAATTCAGATATTCTCAAAGAAAACACAGAAGAAAGACGAGAACAAGAAACACCCGAAGGTACAGGGTCCACGACAGCCCTCCCTCGCTCTGGACACCTCTGCTCCCTGCCTTTCTCCTGGACTCAGGCTTAGGCTATGACACCCCAAAAAGCATTCCCCTGGGGCAGGACTCCATGCCCCTCTGGGAGGCCCGCCCTGCCCTTCCCCAGGGGACTCAGGAGGGCACGGTGGGCAGAGCCAACCGGGCTATCTGCACATCTTACCTCCACACGAGCTCCCCAAAGAGTGAGTCAAGGAGTGCGAAGAGGAAGTCCATCACCATGAACCGGTACAGCTCCTGACCCACAAAGTCCTCCCAGCACCGGCCCTGCAGGGTGGCCACCCTGCGGCCCAGCCAGTGGTAGCAGAGCACGCCCAGGATGGCCGTCTTGAGGACGAGGTTCCTGTGGGGCGGGGCACGTGAGGCGGAGGGAGGGGTGCTGGTCAGCCGGGGAGCCCCGTGCCACAGCACTGCTCGGCCACACACCTGCCGATCGCCACATACACCTCCAGCACCGGGGAGTCCTGCTGCTCCAGGGTGGCCAGGCCGCGGAAGAGGTAGGGGGCGCCCAGGTTGAGGAGGCAGACAACCAGGGGCAGCACCAGCAGCCCCGCCTCCTGGCCGGCAGGCTCGGGGCTCTGCGGGAGTGGGTAGGGCTGTGGGTCAGCGAGGGCAGCCCACCCCGGAGGGGCACAGGGACCCCAGGGAGGATCCCGGGGATGGCAGGGAGGCAGGCGACACACACCTTGCTCCCCAAGACTCAGCCTTCCCCGAGCCTAGGTTCAAACCACAGAGGAAGTGGGAGCGGAAGCACAACACAGAGAAGGGTGGGAGGACAGAGGCGGCTTTGAGAGGGGCTGCAGCTGGTACTGGGTGGGCTCCAGAGTCCCTGGGACCTGTTCCTGAGGGCCAGCCAGCCTCCCTCCCTTGCCCAGCCCCTGCCGCACCTGGATCCTGAGCTCGGAGAAGGTGAGGGCGG